TTCGATATCGTTATTTTTGGAATTAATCACTAACATTTCCTCGTTTCTCTGCTCTGTCAAAAGGAGTTACCCAGGCTTTTTTCACGTAACTGTCTCATTAAAATAAAAATAAAAATATTACATCTAGAACAAGCACCCAAAACACGTAACAAGAGGTCCCAGTTCAGTTGCTTTCACGATACAAGTGTAATACAGCTATTAGATTTGAAGTGTCGTTCAGAATGTAATAATAGTTAATAATAGTTGTATGTTCACACTTCACTATCAAAACCACCATTTCGACCACCATGTGCCAGTTTTCAGTGTTTGGGCGAGCGGTCAATGTTTTCAATAAGCGAGCGAGCGAAAAAAAAAAAAAACGAGATTAAAATGCGGTCGGTTTCCGGTCGGACAAGACCGCGTGGTCTGAAATTAAGCGGTCGATGTAAAAGCGGAAGGTTGGGCGAAATAAGTACTGTATGACCATGTTTCTCCGACGAAGTCTCGACTGACAATAATGCTGACAATGGACGTTAGATAAACACGCATTGTTTGCAACTGGAAGCTTATCACCCGTTATATCAGAATCGTCAACAACAGAGTATACAGATAAGATTTTATCATTTAATTCCTTCCAAAGATAAACACTATGCAAATATCCACGAAACGGCAGTTGTAGTCTTTTCTGCTAATGTTTTAAAACACTAATTTGAGCAACGTTATTTCGCAATTTCGATCTTTTGTAAACCTGGGGTGATGTATCAAGGTCTAAAGTAACCGTTTTATCAATTTTTGAAAAATCAAGAAAAAAGTGAAAATTTCCCTTCTCGCTACCTTAAATAAAGTTTAGTAAACTTCATTAGATTGGAAACCGCAAACATGGACATAGAAATCCGGCATGTTTAAAATTATACATTATAAATAATACATTCATAAATATACATACATATTTATTTGCTGATAGTCTGCTTGTCAAAAAACTTGAATAAATAAATAAATACAATATGTATATTTAAATACTAATATTTCCAGGAATTTATTGAGATGAATGACAAACTGAACATTTTCACACTAAATGTGAAGGATTGAATCCTACATATAAATGGAGGGAAGAATTTGTTCCTTTGGCTTCAAGGTAGTTACGGCTACTGTCGAAACATATCGCCAGAATTCCTTGAGGTTTACCATGTGGTTTTATTTTATGTCACTGCTCACAAAATTAAAAAAAAAATATGTATGGTCCCCAAATTACTTTTTGCGCAAAAAATGCCACTTAATGGTTCCTATGATAAAAAAGGTTATGTTACATCTTAAAATTGCGTTCGGTATATATATACATGCGATAAAAAAATCTTATACTGGTTAAAAAATCTTCAAAGTCGATGACTCGTGTCTAAATAAATAATTATTATTCATTACCTGTTTTAAAATAAACCAGAAATGTTCAAGAGGTTCACGGAGAAATGTAGTGCAATGTCAGGAAAGCGCGTTTGAAGAGGGGGTTCTCTCAAAGGGCCTTCGCGATTACCAAAACTTACCAGCAAATAAATTGAAAAAAAAATATATGCAAATATATATTAACAACAACAAAAAAGCAAAGAAAAAAAGCCCAAACTAAGATCTTAATTTAATCAGATTGGCCGGTATGTAGTTTATATGTTCCAAACGAGATGCGTCAATTGCTGCCGTGTCAGCAAACAACTCAATTTACAATCTTTGTTTTTAGGTATAATTCATGTCACACTTATAATACTTGTATAAAAGAATGAATATGGGTGGTGATTTTGAACTGCAATTTGGGCAAGAAATTAGAAGTCTAGCTCAAAACACGGTAATGATAAATTAATTTTAACGTTACTCCGATTAACACAATCTGAAGCATGGGCGCCGCCCATTAAATCAAATTATGTGTATGAAAATACACTGATATTTAGAATATATATTTAAACTCGCATCTAGTTGGAAACTGGAATTAATTTGGTAGTGTTTTACTTTTATTCAATAGAATATATGAACTCCGAAATCCACTTACAGTTACTTCATATTTATCAAAAAGTTTGCCCCAATCCTTTTTAGATACGACCTTGTATAGCAATAAGCAATCCAATTGTCAAATGTATACAAAACTGTAACAGTTCAAGTTCAAATCGCGATTATTTGCAGCGCCATCACAGGGCTGAATAGAACAATCGAGAATTCTGAAAAGGTCGTTGCAACAGAGATAAACAAAAATGTGCTCAGGACAAACACTCACGTTAATTTTATTGGCATTATTGTCTTAATGTGTAAATTACATTATGTCATTATTTTCCCATATGGCCGTAATAACGGTAATCATATTTTTTAAATTAGCGTACTAGTGATCGTTATTAATTAAGTCGTTTTCCACAATACAGTTGTGCACGCATTCACCATCCTCTATAATAGACATTAAAATATTCACGTTGTCGTACACTACAATATATTACACACAATTGTTGACTAAGTCACATATTCCACATATTTTATTCTATGACATTCGTACCAGATAAATGACTATGTGTATTAAATGTTTACGCATTGCACCATTTGGTGACATCTGTGCCCACTAGCACAGCGGATTACACGAGATATAAACAATCCGCCTGTTACACATTGAAATTAAATTCTGAATACGTGGATAGCACGGGTGACGTTTCCCACCGGTCGCGACTCGCACGGCAAGGTATCACCTCGGACAGGGGGATGATATTTCTGGTCGACAGGAAGAATTACGTTACAATTAGTAGTGGTGGATTTGGTGACCAGACTCAGGTTAGATTTAACTTTCATTGAGTTGCGTGTTTGTGTGTGATATCCTGGGAAAAACAATTAGTTGAACTAGGAAGGGTAGGATGGATCATATGTTATGTGTTTATTTATGACTACCACTCGTAATGTCGTTATACAGATATTATATTTAAGTATTCCTGACAATTAAATGCGTTTGTTTTGTTCTATGTATTTCTATATAATATAAAATCTGATTGGCTGGAGCACTAGGAAACCTGCGTTTGTGACCCGATAATAAATAAACAGGCTTAAATACTGAACAGAATCGATACCACACAACTGGGAGCGTTCATATTGATTTCAGGTGAACGATCAACTGATCTGAAAAGGGAAACCTGATACAAGTAATAATACGATTTATTATTGCTGTTTGTGATGCGTATTTTGCGATAAATTACCTGCAAGAAACTCGCGGGCCATTCGTCTGGTTTGTAAATTCAAAGAATCAGATAGTTAAAACAATTATTTTTCGTGTTTGTTTGTTTGGAATTAGTATATCGATAGTGTTATTGCAAGTTATTATAATACTAGAATTGTTGTCGATTATCTCATGCGAGGCGTCCAGCTACGCGTAAATTCAGATATAACACTGATGAATGGCTTTTGTCCAAAAACGTTTTGTTATTATATTTAATAATTAATTACTGAGATTTCCTGTACACTTAGTTCAATGAAGTGAATGTCATGCCCTGGAATTACAATCCACAATATAGAACGCGCACAAGACGTAAATTCCATCACCTAAAAATGTATCAGAATGCCAGTTTACACAAATACAACTTTAAAATTAATCCACGTGGTAATCGACATATTACGTAATATATCACAAGTTGTAATATTGCGGTATATTAATTTGATTGATTTTTTTAAAAACTTATTTGTATCATGGCTGTCGCTAAGTAGGGGAAGGGGAGTCGCCCAATCAAATTGTTATTGTGAATACGTGTATAGTTTAGTTTGTAGTCAATTTGTCTCATATCTGTAGTGTTCGGTACTTTGATCTCATGTACCATCACGTAGCCAGTATGCGACATATAGCCACGGAAATTCTTCAACGTTCATTAGCATATTTTTCGCCAAATATGCTAATTTTGATATAATATAATCTGATAGTTTTCAATTTAAAAAATAATAACTACACTACCAGGATTCGTTATATGAATTGCGCTATGGATGTTATCAGCAGTGAAAGATGATAAAACAATTAAGTCGAAAAGTGTTACTTTATCTAAAACATAACCATTCATATTTATGCAAATTAATTTGGACTCATTATTAGCATATATAGACAAATAGTCTATATAGTTTGATTGCACATTTTTTTGTTATTTAGTTGTATACGCGTTTTTAATGATAATCCTTTTTATATACGCTTATAATAAAATGTATACTTAATATTCAGTTTTAGGAATATCATCTCTATGAATGGCACGGTTGAGGAAATCAGACATGATGTACATCAGGCGACGGGTGGTGCTGTCCGTGTTTATTGTCGCAGTGTCAGCCTCGATATGGGTCCAGATGTTAACAGCGAGTATCACTAGACAAGCAGATGCCAATAGCATGGACACATCAGGTAATAAGTGTGATGCGAAATTTGTGAAAAGTCAGAATGTTTTCCATTTTGCCACACATTGCATAATTTCTTTTCATGCTCAATTCATGTAGATTTCTGGCATAGAGACGTCTCCTCCTCCAATATGTCGCTGTTGAGGTCTACACATGCAAATAAACAATAAATCTGTAAATATATAACATGACAGGTCACTGGAAATGTCAATTTGTATAAAAAAATACTCGGTACGTGGTCAGTCTATTATGAATAATTGAACATAACGTTTCAACCATGCTACTGGTTACAGAGATTCTTCTATAAATGTTAGAATAATTTACATCCCACATTTTATGTAGCTGAATGTTTGGACTATATTTCATATTTTCATGTTTAAAATTAAATGACAAAGTGTTGTTAATGGTATATTTAGGAGATTTAAACTTAATTTTAGTAATGCGGAACAAATACCATCAAACTCTGCTGACTTGTTTCTCATTGACCTAATCTTCATGAGCCTTTGCGATTTTAGCGTGTGTTGTTATCGTTGCTTGGGACTAAATTCCACACGCGTGCGCAGGAGACGACTCTCCCGCTATAACTTATACCATGGAGGCTCTTTTCTACCTCCATGCTTATACCAAACAACTGCTCTACTTTGAACTGTGAGACAATGATAAAAGGCATGTCATAGCAGAACACTAAAAACATTAACATTTCATTTAAAAAAATGTAATAAACTGACTGAATTAATTGAATAAATTATTCATGTGAAAGTTTGGTAATGAGATCAAAAGTTAATCAAAATTTACCTTATATTTTATATTTTTTTCACCATACAAGTAATTGCTTTTAAGGTAGCGAGACTATTATTTGTGTTGAAAATTACGATTTTCACATTTATTTATTAATTGATGAAATACACTATAAACTTTCATCTGATAAAGTCAACGTAACCTAGAATGTCATGTAAGTTGGTTAAAATGTAGATTTTCGGAAGGGAAGCAAGGCAGCTTCAGTAGTGTTTTCCAAAATCAACAACACAGGTTTAATCTGTGTGCCTATAAGTTTAAAAGATTAACTCAAGACAAAGCAATGTTAGGATGTGTTATCAGTAGCTATCTGACACACAATGAGTGTTTCCAAACATTTAAGTGATTCGTCTCTGCCCCTGGTTATTTCACAGATTAGTCATTTGCATATGAATGTGACACAAGGTCACACAGCCACTAAACAAATCATTGATTTTGTTTTTTTCATCTGCCAATTTTATTGAACTATAGCTATACCATTTCTTTATTTTTTGGTTTCCAATAGCCTTTCACATTTGGATGCCCCTACACATGTTAAAACAGACCTTGATGGGAAAACAAATTGCTTGTGCAGATAAACAAGCTTGAAAATCTTTGCTGTGACTTCATGAACGTTTTCTAGGAGTTTATGTTTTTTGTCTTTAACAAAAAATAACGCATACTTATTGTCGTCGGATTATAACCAAATTTTCACAGCTTTAAGGTAGAGATGCCAGGTATTTTAATTAGTTAATTAGGAAACCAAGGTGACCTCCCTTGTCCACAAAACTATCAATTTTCGGACAGCTTATTGTATAAATTTTAAAATTTTGTTAGTATTTTTTATGGACACTGTAGTTTGAAATATGCACAAAAATGTGCTTTTTTGCTCAAAAGTGATTTAAACAAAAATTATGCTTCTGTTTCCTGTCAAAATTGGTTTATGGGTACATCTGTTTACTATGAAGAAAGCGCCGTCTTGAAAACTGTCTACCAGTTGTCAATTTTGCAGGGCAGCGGCTCTAATTTCACTACTTCAAGTTTATGCATAAATTAACACCCAGGCTAGTTGTCTGTACGATTGTTGTAACACTGTTCAACCAAAAACAATGCCCCGACGGCGTTTTGAAGATAAACACATTGTCAATCTTTTGTGAAAATTTCAAAACAAAAGGTCTAAGCGTCTAAGGAGCTATTTTTTTTAAAGTTCTGGCATGTGCACTAAAAAGAAGTTGAGATAATTGCTAATTTGCATAACAATTCACTCGGTAAGAAGTTTGCTAATGCTCATAATTAAAATGGCTGTAACAGTTTTAAATTTAAATGTATTATCGTTTTGTTAAATTTAAATATAGTGCAGTCATTTCTTTTTTTCATCAAGTTTCTTTTTTATTATTTATGTACAGCCTTGCTAGATCTTGCTAAGCATTCAAAAGAGATAATGTTTGGTCCTGTTTTCTATATTTTAAAATCGTGTTCTGAGTATATTCCAGTATTCACACTTCTACAAAATTTTAACAGTCCATAGCCAAGACTGTTTGGATAATAAAAAGCAAAAAAAAAAAATTAACTCCGAAGTGCCCACGAACCTGCATCTCTACATTAAGGTGACAATGAGAGGAACTTGAATGTGTCCATACAAACTATTTCATGGATTAATTACCACTGTGTTGTGGTTTGAGTTGGGGGCAATGCGACTAAAACTGAAATTAAAATTCAGGACACTACTTTTCAAAACGCGTTGCTTGAATAAAACTGATCAGACACATTCAATTTACCAGACTATTGAACAACTAGGAAAAGTGAAAAAAAACTTCTTATCACCAGCATAAATTACAAAAAAAATAATTTTTTCACTTTTGATTAAGTAACGCACCGTAGAATGCAGATACGGGCATGACAAACACACCTTGAAGTCTGGCGATTCCAAAAAATATATACTTTCCTGAGTCTTATTGTAGTCATTTGGTCACAATTTGAAGATGAAAACAAGTATACAAATAATAGTCCCGCTACCTTAATATCTTATAATAATTTAAGTGTCTGGAGATATAAAGTTATTATTGTCACCTTTTAGAATCTCTTAGTTGATTTAGAATATTCCAAAATTCTTTTGGGTTATTATTCTTGAACGTCATTAATTTATCTAATAATGTCTTTTGTAATTGCAATTGTTGTTTTTTAGTTTTAACTAATTGTTGAAATTTTGTCTTCACACAATAAGAAATCTGTCTTATTTTATTGTTGCTGTTTCTACTATGTCTGATTTAGCTTGTTTGCATAGCTGGTCATTAATAATGATCATGGATATTTTAGATTCACTATATATAGTTGATTCTGGCGAAAAGATCTCGTAACAAAAAGTATTTACTGTTGGTATAGATTGAACTAAATCATCGACAGATATCATTGCTTGTGTGAATTTAAAGATTGACAATACTGGTGAACATTGTACTCATTGTTTACTTTTTTTAAATACTTTATATATATATATATATATATATATATATATATATATATATATATATATACATATATCGGAAAAAAAAGTATATGGAGATATGTTCATGAGTAAAATATATAATCTGCAAGGCACGTAGAAGGTCTAAGGTCTCTGTTGTCACTCATTTTGGTACATGTATTTTTTTTCAAAAATGCAATCTTCCATCCAACTTGTGAATGACCAATAAACACAACAAAATGAATATACTAGTATATAAAGTACAATGCTTCCTTTACCTTTCTGTCAATATATTACCTTTATATTTATAGTTTTGTTGTGTTTTTGAGAAGTATTTGTCACTAGTCTTATGCCCTTTATCTAGTAGTTGATTGTGGTTATACAATCTAAAGTCGCTCTTTTCTTCCACTCAGTCATCATATTTTAGGTTGGGCGGCATTACAAATTATTGAAAATGCAACAATATAGATCAATTTGTGGATGTATATATTGAATAAATAAAAAAAAAATGAATAAATCATTTTTTTAATGTTTTTATGTTTATGTTTGCAGCTGGCGTGTAGCGTGGGGTCAAACAAACCATTAGATTTTACCCAATATGCTTTGCGAAATTTTAGTTTTTGCCTTGTATTTCATGGTAGATAATTCACCTCAGTTTTACCTGTAAATACCCATGAATATATTCCTTAGCTCATAGATGTGACGAATGTTGAATTGATTCAGAAAGTAAGCCGTTTTGAGGGCTAAAGTGGTTATATATTTATATATATCACGGTAACTGCACTTCACGTTATCTGATTGAAATAAACCTGTACTGATAATTTAAATATCCATTTCCCATTTGTTATGACTCGTCTATTTATATTTTTATTCACAAAATACACATATTGATTTATTTGCTTTAGTTGGTTCTCGCTTATACCATATACATCAATTTAAATAGTCTCATTTGTCAATGTGTCGATTCACGTGATGTAGATATCAATACAAAGGAGGATGTCCATTTCCTCCATGAGGTACAAGCTGAACAATAAACGTGATATTCAATTACTTTTTAACACATGGTGATGCTTTATTTAATTTTCTAGAACCTGTATGCAATGTGAGTCTGGCTCCTCCCGGCAGTCGTCCAATTGTAGCACTAGCTAGCTATCCCTGCTCCGGCAATACATGGACAAGACATCTTCTTGAAACAGCCACAGGCATATACACAGGATCCGTCTATCATGATAAAAACTTATACCAAGGAGGTATGCTTGTTGTTAATTTTATTTGCTTTTCTGGTTCAATGATATTGATGTATAGGGGCCCTATATAAAAGAGATAGGAAACTGAGGCAAACAACAACGGAAATCAACATGCTTGGTGTACTAGCTTGGTTACACTCACTGTAATTTATAATTGTATTAAATAAGGCCAACAAAAGAATCACTATGTACATTGCTGCCATAATACATTTTTTGTGGATAGTGTTTGTAATTGTTACTGAATTGTCAATAATTACACATTGGCCATTTTTGTTGAATTTTAAAGAACTTTCAATAAACCGAAATCAAGTCAGCTGTATTTAAAGACCATTGACACTTATTAACACCTTGTTAGTCTTATGCGCGGTGGTCGTCGCGCAGCGCGTGTTCGAATTTCATGTATATAAACAATGTATTTTACACGCGTTGTATACGTCGCTATGAGTCCCATATCGAACAAGACGCGGCACGACGACTGCTGCCCTTTAAGTACCAATAATCAAGATTGCATCAAGGGATACTCTCCTGTTTTCCATCCTTTTTTTTTTCTACGAACATGTAACTTTATAAATTCGGCTATACCTTGCACTCAATAAACTTCATTTCTCCGAGACTAATATCATGAAATTTTGTCAAAATTATGTCCATATTGAATCCATGAGTAGTCTGGCAGGATGCAGTAACAGTTCATCGCCCCTAGACCAGTATCAATTCGTGTAACCAATATTGGTCAATCATAAGAGTGAAACCAAACCCAGTGTGTTGACCTACTATTAGACCTACTATGTGTACAGTCGGTAGTTGACCCTGACAAGCTTAATGGTTATTGTCTGGTCGTCATGGTAGAAGTGTTGCTCATTTAAAAAAACTCTAACAACACAGATATCTAATTATAAATGCCTGAGTTGATAACTTGCCATTGAAATAGCGTGTAGAGAACACGCACTTAAAGTGTACATGCGCAATTCAAATCCTGACGTCACAAACAATATGCAAAATATGATCTACCCAATGAAAGAATGATCTACTTAATTACGATTGATCTAAATGAGATCAAGGAGATGCCATATTCCATCAATTTAAGGGGATTTTGATTGTATTAACTATCATTCCCATATGAACTGCTACAGACATGGCCATAAAAAACGAAACATGTAGTCTAAGTTCAGAGATTTAATAAAAACACATATGTGCAAGTCTTTTGTTTCAGGAATTTTCATGAAGATGATGTGCGAAAATAATAGTGGAGATTTATATAATTTAAGTTTCGTTGTTGGCGTCACCTTGAATAATACGTTTTAAAAACTTGCAAGAGACATTTTTCAGAAAGGTAAAACTTTACATGTTTGTTTTTTTCAGGATTTCTTGGGGAGATGGAAAACTGGCAATCTGGTACGACTTTAATTGTAAAAAGACACAGTCATGATCCAACACAGTATTTGAACTTTCACTCAGCCATAATGCTCATCCGAAATCCTTATTCAGTAATTTTATGTGAACGTAATCGACAGGTGACTAACAGTCACACAGAATATAGTAGTAAAGAAGATCTTGTTAAACTCGACAAAAAATCAGGAAAGGGTAAGTCCATAAATAACTATTTCCCATGCACGTAATGACATACCGTATTTTTATATAGAGCTTTATAGGAGAAAGTCTTCAATAAATCGTACAACGAACGGAGTTGTTTCGAATCAATACAGCGTGCTATATGAAAACGTGTTCGTTAAATGTACGCAGCTAGTCGAGGCACCTATATAGTGTATTATTTTTTGTATGTTTTCCACCTAGATTGGAAAGACTTTGTGAAGTGGCAAATTCCACGGTGGGAGGACGCTGTCATGTCATGGATGGAAAGCACACGCCCACTTTTAGCTATCCGATATGAAGACATGAAAGAAGATCCAGTTAGAGAAGTTATCAAAATGACAGACTTCCTAAACGTAACTATTGGGGAAAATGGACTTAACTGCTTAAAGCAAGACATTGAAGGTAGATTTCATCGATCAGCGGACAGTGAAAAATTACAGTTGATTGAGGAGTTGTATACCGAAGACCTACGTAGTGCTATTGATAGTACGATAGACCGTGTAACGAACAAACTGACAACACATGGATTTCAACCAGTCAGCGCAATAGCCTGATATATGAAAAAAACAAACATTTTAGAACGTAAAAAAAAAAAAACGATTTGTCTCCATCTTAAATTTACACTCACCGAAATATTTTATATATACAGATTAACGAGATGGAGAGACGTTTTTCTTATGGGCAACAATACACATAATTTGTTGATCTGCAATACATTGTATTTCTCACACGTTAGTAATCTTAGAGAAACATTTATTCAAGTAATATACTCAACACAGAAAAAACAAATATATGGTGACTTATATGTTCCACTGCATTGAAGAGTACGAGTACGAAAATACATTGACAATTCATTGATAGAAGAACTATTTACATTGGATTATGTATCAAGTAACTTTAAATCGAGCAAAATATTAAAATACTTTTACTTAGAAAATGACGATGCCAGACTTCCGTCATAAACATACTTGTCCTGCTTGAGAACAATGTTGTCGCATATCGCGTTATTTCTGCTGTTCAATATACACAATTTCAGTGAGTTTTAAAGATTACCTATCCATGGTAAATATGTAGTAGTTAGCAAGCAGATGAAATGTGTATATATGGATAGTATGGAGCAGTCGATTTTGAATCCAAAGTGATACTTATCATACTTTGTGTTATATCAAAAGTAAAGAAAGATTAAACTAGTTGTAAATATTGCACTTACCATATCTCTTCTTGGTGTCTGCTTTTACCGCCCGACAATTTTCGTTAACTTACCAATAGTGAAACATATGGATGTATGAACTGGAGCGATAGAGAAAGCTGGGCTCCTAAAACATAAAAAAGCGCCCTCGTGCAATTACGAAGTATGCGATGATAGATTATTCAACTTTCACTTGAGGGAATGAGTCAGCACAGGAAATTAGAAGCGCCCTCATATAATCAGGACATGCAACTGAAGGGTCTCATACTCGACTTTAGTTGAGGTAACAGTACGTTCTGTATTACAGTAAATTCCCACTTGTGTTAGCAAAACATTGAATTTAGACACATGGTAAAAAATAAATAATCAAAATCACCTGATTAGTAATAACAAGTTTATTGACATCACATATTTTTCATATTAATATACAATTGTGAATTGTAACACTAATTTCACACTTTCTTAGACAATATGTGAAAATAATAAGTGAAAACTTTCTAAACAAAGGGTTACCACCTGTCGAGTGCTAACAAGTAAACAGATATATGCTGATTGTCTGACCATTATTCAAAACATGTACCGAAAAAATTAACTTTGTTTAATCAAGAAGGTATTCTTTGCCATATTTTGTGTTACCTAAAAGTGTATTTCAATTAAAAAAAACTTACTTATGTAAATAGACAGAACTATCTAAATAAAAGGCAGCTTCTCAATTGAAAAAAATAGCAAAGTTACAAAAGTGATGTACATTCAAGTATTGTTTTCTGTTTTATATTGAATTGTCCCCCCTGCAAAATAAGTGAAATTTCTGATAGTATTCAAAGCCAAATTTGTTTTTAATTTTCTCTAAATTCAATGGCACTTTTGAAACAGAATGGGATATGACCCATAGTCAGTGAAGCATGGAGAAAGCAGAGTTCCCAAAACTTGTCTCCCACGTTACTTACTTACAGTTCAGATAATGGCAGCATACACAGCGCCCTCATATGATTATGGTTTGCAATGGTAGAGCATGAGACTTCCAGTTAAAACAGTGAACTTCAGACAAATCTTAGAAAATATAGATAAAATCAGAGCAACCCATCATTGTGTGTAACCCAGGGTAATGCCCATGCGCTCATTTGATGCTAAGAACACTAAAAGAACTGACAGTAAGCAATATCGGAAAAACCAACAATTGTTTCCATAGAAACCATTCAATAAATAATCAAAATTGGTAATAAAAAGTTTATTGTCATCACACTTTTTACAGATCAATATACAATTGTGAAGGTAAACAAAAATGTCTCGCATTCCTTTAAATATACACTATAAGTGAAAACTCAAAACAATTGGACAAGGGTTGCCACTTGTAGAGTGCTAAAAATAAAAAGTTATATGGTAATTTATCTGAACATTAATCAAAACATTATGCAAATAATGTGCTAAAAAATCAACTTTGGCATTCTTGTCAGATTTTGTGTGTACCTTAAAGTGTATTACAATTAATAAAATGCTTATGGGTATGTGAATTAAACAGAAATATTGAAAGAAAACAGTAGCATTTGAAAAAATGAACAAGAAAAGATGTTACAACAAAAGTGCTGTACATTCAAATGTTGTTCTCTATGTTTTATTTTGTAATGTTCTTCCCCACCACCTCCCAAATATATGAAATATCTGACAATATTCAAATTTGTTACGATATAAATACATGTATTGAATAGTTTTGAAAAGAAGTATTTTACTGGCAGTAGCAATAGAAATAAGTGGTGAAAGGGGTCACACGTACGTGTCACAATACATAAATGATGTGACTATTATTGAATTATGTTTTTACACACTTTTGCTGCTCGTCTGACATTCAATCATAAGCTATTAGTTATTTCAGTACTTTGAACAGCTCACAGACTGTATTGTATTGGCTTTAGATTTCCTAAAATTATATTTGGCTCTATTAGAAGTGCATAGAAATCCACATAAACAAAAAAATGTTTTTATGGGATGTTGGATTATTAATATATAGATATATTTCAAACCATAAACACTCAGGCAAGCACATGTGCTACTAATAGAGCAGATACAGTAAGGACAACAGTATAATACAAATATTGCGCAATTATGAGCTAGTATTATTAGCAATAAAAAATATTCATTTTCGAAATGTTAATTCCAAAAACTACATTTTGTCCAACTTTATTTTGTATGAATAAAAAAAACAAGTTTACCAAATTTTATGAAAATATTAAAAATTTTCAATTAGTAAAATATCTTCCTAAAATTGCACATACCAGATGTCTAACTATGAAGTAGTTTTAATTAACCCCTCTCACTTCGCATGAAACAAGATAACTCGGAGCTCTACTCGATTGTTCATAAATGACCCATTGAATAAAATTCAACCTAGATTCCATGAAATCCAAGATTAGTAAAACTTATTAAAATCTCAAAGCCATCAAAGATTCCCTGGGTAATGTTCCATGGGGAGTGGGTAGAGAACACAGTTTTAAATAAACTATGGTACCCCGGCCCCCCTACTCAGGATCCATAGGGGGCCGCATGCGCGTTCCCATTTTCTCAGGAAAGGGGGTACTTTTTGACGATCTGTCTCGGGAACATTTTCCCGAGAAAATCGTAGAAAAGGGGGTATTTTTTGCTTGTTTTCCCCGAGATTCTCAAAATAGGGGGTGTATTTCAAAACACTTCCCGAGATATACAAAAAAGGGGGGTTTAAAAGGAGTTCTAGACTGAAAAGTTCACTAGATAGGGGGTGAAATTCATCAGAAAAGCCCGTGAAAGGGGGGGTTAAATTTTCTTCTTTTCCCTAGACAGGGGGGTCAAAAAAATGAGGGAACAAGCATAGGCCCTCCCCCTAAATATAGGGAGTGGGGGGGGGGTATGGTACTGTAACAGACTACATTAGTATTGCATATCTCACTTGGGGAGTAGGTAAATGTGAGCTAAGTTATACCCCACTAGAACAACATGAGAGGACAACACATTCTGCAGGAGAAATAACAAACCACGTTTATACAAGCCATTTCGTCAAAGTCACTGGTAAGAGTGACTGCTGTTGCTACTACAGAGACCATCAATCTCTATTTCTCAATTCGAATTACACTCAAACAGATGCTGGTAACTACTACCGGTATATCGCCCACTACACTCTGCCAGAACTGAAAAGACCATCGTGCATATCAATGTTTTAAATCAAAGAAACAGTGTACAAGGCTGTTATGACTTTGTAATTATTGATGTATGAAAATCAGCATGCAAATTACACGACTTGTCTTTACCAGAAAAACTATGACCATCGCGCATAACGCATTGATGTATGTTGAATTTATACGTGTTTAAACTTTGTTTTAACCATATATGCAAAATATGCAAATATGCGTGGAATTCACATTTTGTTTCCATCGGAAGTATTGATTATCATGTACACACAAAGTTTCAAACTGATCAGTGTTGAATTTTTTTAGTTATTACTCTACATGCTATATGTACGAATGCTGGTAACCATTATATCCCTTGTTAGAAGTAATGCTGGAGAGATAAAATTACTCAGCAATAAACCAGCTTACAGGAGAAGAAGTTTTCTCAGATATAAAATATCACATCAAATACAGTACTCTCATTACTTTAAAATATTTTAGCTGAAATTCATTTTCATAGAAGAGACATTTTGGCTGTTTTGAACTTTATTTTCACTGATTTCTGATGATTTGAATGCAACATATAGGTTCATTTTACCAGAGAACACAAATTCCAAGTGAAAATAAAGCATATTAAGAATTATGACGAATCTGAATAAATCAACTGTAGAGGGCAGTATGTAAACATGATTGTAATCTTGTAAATTTAGCATTTGACAAATCAGCATCCTCCAGAGAATTGCTTTTTTCATTGTTGTTAAATGCTTGGTGCTTAACTTAACCATTCTTTCATGCTCTAGATGATGACCATTTATTTATTTTGTGATCTCCACACCAAACCAATGTACGCTATAAGTCGATACACCACCAGTAACACCAGTATTAAATAAATATCCATCATAAAATTATCCTATAAATAAAATATACATAATTAAGTTGATTACATGTGAAATAAAAAGATGTTGCTTTCTCATATTAACATTTGTATTCTGCGAGAAATAATTGTAGAAAAGATATGAAATAACGATGTGTCCGTATAACAAAGGAAAAAGCATGATGCAGCTTTGAACAAGCAAACATACAAGGAAGCTTAGCATAACCAAGGTGAGTGAGGGCGCTTTACTTTATGCAAATAATGAGTCTTTGATAGAGGGCGCTATTTGGAACTAATACTTACTGCTGAAAATGAGAGACTGGCTAATACTGTTTGACCATCGGTAATGCACGGCACTGAGTAATTGGCTGGACATTCTGGTGACAAAAATTACAATTTATCTGTTAGGTGAAGTCAGGGTTAAACGAAACAACATGTCTGACACTTTTCTTTTTGTTATGAATGAGAAATAGGGAGAAATACCAACTGATGCAAATAACACATTCAGTTTGCAGCACTGGATGATAACTTCTTAAAGGTCTATTGACCATGACAGTATATAGACTATATTGCATGATATATTTTATTATATTAGCAGTTATTTTTACTGCGAGTTTTACTGTGATAATGGCTATTCATGTTATTTATATTGGTACTCCACAGTATTAATTACAACAAATCAGTAACACTGTTTCGATTCTGATATATTTTAAACCCATAGAATTGCATGTGAAATAATGATTTTTGAATAATGTATTTTTCAATGTATATGTACACAGTTAAATTTAATTCAAGTTTTTTTTTTTTTTTAATTATCAGTGAAGCTAGAGATTAAATAATTAAAGTTTCTTTTTGAGAATACAAACTGCAACAAGGAAACTGTTTATTGGAAACCCTGTTAACAAACCAGCTTAAAGTAAAAGCTACCGCAATTCACAGTTTCAATATCTCGTTTTCAGATGCAATTAATTTGTACTCCTTATTATTTTACTTAGTTTGTCTGTATTTTTTTCAATTTTGATAAAAAAAATTTGCTGTGTTACTCAGTCTTCATATTTTAAAGCGCGGTAGTCGTCGCACTGCGCATATGTGACATTTGTGTTGATAAACAATGATTTTCCCACAATCCAATGCGTTCTTCAAATGGAAATCACAAGTATGAGGTTTGACCTGGGCGCGACTTGCACTGATTACCAACGATGACTCCTTCGATACCTTCCAATCACATGAAAATTGCCTAATTTAAGCTTGGAAGCATCTCAGTTCGTACTCGTTGATCTGCGCAACAGTCAAAGTCGCCATCTTTATTTATATGAGACCCATATATCTCGCACATGCAATGACTACCGTGCTTTAACTTACCAATATCGTCAATATTCTGCCATTGATTCACAGTCAGGCACTCATAACCATACTTAAACCAAGATATATACTGCAACCAAATAAAATAAACTGGAATATCACTAGAGAGAGAAAGGCAAAGAGAAATGGGCAAACAATATTATTTAACTATAAATATTATAAATTTTATGACCGGTCAGTAATTAGGTTTCTTTGAGTGCTTTATGTCAAGTTCATGGCCAAACTAACAGACTATAAATAGGTCAGCGTTGCTAATAATGCTATACTTCTTTTATAAAACAATTTGACAACCTGGCAAGAAATGCTCACATTCAGATACTATCAATGAATCTCGATGTTTCTTTTTATCGACAAGAAATAAATCGATTTGTGTCTTCCTGCATTTCATTTCCATGATTTACTTTGAAATCATCAGTAACATCTTTAAATCTACAATCATATTACCAGTAACTAAAACCCACTCTTATAATTCGACAACTCAAAAATATTTTCAACATTTAATTCCAACACCCCCAACCCACACAAAAAACACATTTGATTTCATGATCCAAACAATGAAAGGGTAAATTATGGTATATACAAATACATGTATATTGTTCAATCAAATTTGAATAACACATCACAGTCTTACTTTGTATAGTCTTACTATGAGTGTTGTCGCATATCATATCACATGGGGCTATGAAAGATACATTGCCTAACTATCTTGGTCTGTTGTTACGCAAATGTGGTTACGTACCTTGTATTAAGAAAAAGACCACCGAACAATAACAACGGTACTATTAGCGGTGGTGCAATCGCTAATGCAACTGATACACTAGGACTGAATGTGCTGATCATGTATCCTACATGGTCAAAATAAAAAAATATATATAAATATAAATGTATGAATATAATAATGTAGCTCTCACAGGGACATGACAACTTATAAAATTAACATGATTTCCTTACACTGAATATGAACATGTGTGACTTTCGAAAGTTGTCACACATTGCATCAAGCGAACATTTTAACATTAAGCGAAAACGACAAACTGTAAATCTGTTAAATTCTGCTGCTACTCATTTTCATGATTTTAATGGGATCAAGTTGAGATGAAACTGTGATTGTTTCCGTGACTTGTTGTCTTTAACCTATTCACCAGCACTTTCCTCTTTTCATCCTGGTTATAGTCTGCTTCCTTCAGAAGATTTGGACAAAATAGCCAAATATTTTGAGTAAAAACTGAAAATTGACTCAAATTTTGTCTATTTCTCCAAAATTGTTGTTCATTTCCAGAAATATTGAAGAATACAAGAAAAATATGCAGACAAATTTGAGCCAGAAAGTCTGGTGGTGAAAAGGTTAAAGATCCAAGTCATTGCTAAAAACTAAGTTTTTCCAAACTTGAAAATAAGTCATTTACAGTAAACATATGTAGCGTCTCAGGACAAAAATAAACAGACAAAATGGTCTATTAAATATCCATGCACAATAACTACTGCCCTCAATATTTTAAAGATATTTTTTGAAGACTATTTTAATATTATAGAATCAAAAAACAATTCAAACACAAATGTTGTATGCTTGCATACTCACCAAATGATACGGAAACATTACATACCAACACCAGTATCCCAGCACATATACAGAAATTCACAAAATATGGATAAAGTCCTGGAAAAAAGTCATGAAATAAATATAGGAAATTTTGTATATTGATAACACTGACAGTAAACTTTAAATATACAAATATTATAACAAAATGAATAAATTATGCATAGATTTAAAATCAATATCTGTTGATCAACCAATATACAGATAATATATCTTGGATTTGGTGATTATTACTGGTATGCTTCATTATTGATTGCAACCAAGAACTAATTGGGTCGTGGATTATACTAGAGCATGTGCCAAGATTCATTAAAATCTGTTCAAAAGAAAAGCTTAAAACTGGCTAATTAATATGCAAATCAGGTATTTAAAATGCATAAACTTTAACCAAGAACTAATCAGGACTGCGGTTTGTACTTGTATTCCAGGTTTCATTGAAATCTAATGAGTGTTTTCCCACAGTAGTCAATAAATGATCAATTTCATTCAGGTTCCAACAAACAAGATTATGGGGCTACTATACCGGGATGCTCTATAAACTACTGATAACAATAGTATGGTACAATTTTATTCAAAGCACTGCAAGGTGTAATTTACTTACCAACCATCCAGTATGTTATAGCTGTGAACACTATGGGAAGTATAATAAACTGGTAAGGTAACTGTAAGAGAAACAAGAAACATTATTAACACAACATTTTTTGAAATCCTTCGTAGATAGCCTAAATGCACCTGCCCATCAAGGACAAAGCCCCGTATTAAATTGTCTACTGTTTAATCTACTGGTAGTTTAATTTGAGATTCACAAATATAAATTCAAATTCTCCAGTTAATTTCTCATCACCAATCCACAATTTCAACATTCGATGGTGTGTATACTGGTGAGTGGATGGTACGTCACTGAACTGCAATGCGAGAATGCAACTTTAAAATCAAGTACATCTACAAGGTAGGAAGCCAAAGATTACTCTGTTCTTACCTCCACTAAGTTCTTACAAATAAAATACACATCAGTACGATACATGCCATTAAAATGTTCTCGTAAAAATACCGGCAACTCCAGAGGAAAAACCTGAAATGCACAAATGGTGGTAATTGGTAATGGACACAGATTTCAAATTTCAAATTCAGTGTAAAGCAAAACAAAACAATGCAATCACTATGAACACTGATCGGCATCTTTCAATGGAAATTTCGCTTTCATAATGCATATGCATGATATGATTTGAGTGTTACTTACTTGAATAACTGCAAACAAATTGGCAAATGTCATATTTGTGATGAATAAAAACAAACAACCATTAATGTTCTGAATACTGTCTTGATCATATGGTTGCTGTAGGAATACCAGTCCTATTATCAGGGCTATTATCTAGGGAATGAAGGAGAAGGAAATTAGGATATATCGTACTTGAAGAAAAGCAGTCATCAAGCGGTGCACATTCACAAACATGATACTGTATTTGCCTTATTAGTAGCACATATACGTAAATGACACAGATGGAATGTGTCTATGGCCAAAATAAGTTATATTTTAATGATTCAGTATAAAACAGAATAATGCAATTTTTCGTTATTAGAGATACACTTTTAACAGAGCAAATACAGTAGTCACACATGTAGAGTCGACTGAGATTCAACAAACGGCAAACAGCCTTTAAGAAATCCTGCAATGCAGATTGCGCAATATGCAAAATTGATATCAATCAGGTTTACGATATAGATGACTTAACTTACCACAGTTTGTACCGTCCGGACTCTAATAATCATTGGTTCTCTGGAGTTATCAAGGTAAGTACGCCACATAACAGCTCGAAATTGAGCAAACCAGGAGGCCTTGTACCTGTCATTAGTTAAAAACATACTTAGCATTATACCGAACTGAAAGGTGCATTGTATGGCCTTGTGACAAGAAAAACAAGTCTGCTATTCTCTGCAATAAAAATGTTCTATGAAGAAAAGTGAATTGACTCATGTGTGATCGAAGAAAGTCAGTATGATTCCATTTGATGCACAAATTAAAACACAGCACAATATTTACTGTAAAATACTTTTATTTTAGCTGCAATCATTTTTTAGCTGAAAAGCCTTTTTAGGTGTTTTGTATGAAAGTTATTTTCACTGATTTTTGATGAGTTGAATGTAAAATACTGGAAATAAGGTATATTCACTAGATTTTATTTTCAATGAATTATCCCTTCAGCGAAAATAAATTCAAATCAAAAAATAAAATAATAAAGTAACTGCTAATTCAAATGTCAGTAGTAATAACATCAAAATATACCCATGGCACACCAGTATATGTGGCAAATCTTTTATTTCTGATTCTCACCCATGGAATTGACATTACAGACTGTATTTTGTAATCAACAATATACTTACGGTGATCTACTTTTGATATTATGGTCTTCCAACAAACCCTTAGATTCTGATGGCTTCATTTTATCATAAACTTCTTTGGCAAAAATGGATTGATCATAAGCATCACAAAGTTTCTAGAAACAAAAGTAGAAGTCCTGTAAATTGGTATGTACTAAATGTCTATCAATTTTTATAATCCTTTATTAAAGAACAAATGAATTTACAATTATTAAATATAGTAATATTCAAGTATGCTATATTTGTTCTTTTGGAAGTGACTCTTCAAGAAAACAATTGTTTTGGTTCTGTCGGAACTGCACAAAACCAAACTCCTGTATACAAACCACTTAAGGTAAGGGTGCTAGGGGTAGTGGAGTTTTGGCAATGACATAATTTTAGTGTCTGTGTCAATTATAAACAATTATAAAGATTGTGAGATTATAATTAAACAATGAAGGAGTATTCAACATAAAGATCAGTAAGATACATCCAAGAAATGACTTGAACTTTGAACAAAGTTGGTCCAAGCATTGTAAAAGAAATGATGTCATTCTCAACTTCCAGGGATATATTTCTCTCAATTGCATTTAAAAACAGCACAATGATTGGCTGATGTATGAAAATGAACAACAGAGCTTGATTCTTGTTCACAGTAATTGATATCACCTTTTAAATATTTTCTTACCTCAACTTTTTCTCTACATTGTTGTTCCTTGCCAGGTTCAATGGCGAGTTTTTGGATGTAAAAATCAGCAGGATTGTAGTTTGTGGGGCAAGTGTGACCAATACTGAATTAGAAAACAAAACAATAACTGTCAGATATCTTTTATTTTCATACTGAAAAACAAGTCATGTCATGACACAGTCTGTATTGTTCAACAGTAAACGAAACTGAAAAGAATCAGCCTTGAAACAAATGCTTGTCAACATAAGAATAATACGTTCTAGTCGTACACAAAGTTAACTTGATTGACATTTTATTGTGATTGATAAGATTTCCACACAAGATTTGTTTGAGTTATCGTAATCATAAGGTGAAGAAGATAATTTTAAGTGACATTTTGCACATGCCAAAATTGAACTTCACTGAGATCCCAAACTGGTTAATATAATATCCAAGTTTGAAAAAAATGTAATAAAAACATTTACACCAGAGACGATGACAATGACAACAACAAAGACAAGGGACAGACATTTCCGCCTGATATACTTTTTCTTTCACCTATGATTTGAGCACAGTAAGAAATGTTCTCATGTTGCTCATTATGACAGTTATTTACAAAAGCTGTGAAACCTGCTGCACTATTTTTATTGCATAACAATATTCTCTTGGAATGTGCCACAGATTGTATGCGCTGTGGTATACCTGGGAACATGATTTATTCATGATTAAACCAAATTAGATTTAATAGCAAATTATGGTGACCAATGCATTGGAGAATCGATACAGATAGTGATCCATATATTACATAATTTAACAGATGTGTTATTTATGCATATGAAATACCTGGAGGACATTTTAAAAAGCGCTAGCTCAAACACCCGCATTAGTGGTGTCTTGATCTGAATGAAATGTCAACAAACTTATATTAAAATTAACACTGAAATATAGTAACTAAAATCAGATAAATTGAATAATTGGATGCCGTAATGATGATGCATGGAAACGCCATCTGTTGCATTGTTATAGGAATACAAATGTCTGTTATTAAATCACGTTGACTCCAATTATTATTCTATTTATATTTGCACTGCAATCTGTTGCCATGAATTATGTACTTTCAGCAAAGCTGCTGTATTATTATGTCTGTCAGTAGCAATAGACCAGTTACATTGCAAAAATGTCACCACATAAAACCACATAGAAGCAACAACTTGAGTGCATACTGTAACACTTCTGTACCCAATAAAAGAATAAAAGTGTTAAATATTGACATAAATAGCCTGAAATGTAATCAATATGGGTGAGGTATTTACCCTATGTTTGTTTCTAATATGTTTTTGGGCGGCTCATCGTTATTGTTACTTTTAGTGCAGCTCAGGTGGGATTTGGTGATTGTCCCTTATTGGCAATGAAATATATTTTCATCGTACCACAATGTCTGTGTTATAAATATAAGGTGAATTTGAATGACGAAAGAAAGAGTGCAGATACGTTTCGAAACAAGTGCAGATACAGCTTTTGACAGAACGGTAAATTTTATTGTTTTTGATACAAGATGCCTATAAAGAGTGTTTAACATGATGTATAGCAATTAAAACTTATGTAAATTTAGAATATTACAAAGGAAAGTAATCAAATTAATATGTGGTGTGAAATCTGAAAAAAAAAAACTTACTTTGAAAAATGCCTCAGCGCATCACTGGTTGACCCGAGGAAAGCATTTCTCCCTTCAGCCATCAATAGCACCCTGTAAACATAGTGTACTGAACCATTAACCCTATAATTATCGTACATACTGTACTCTATTAGTAGCACATCTCTAATAGAAGTGCACACATTACCACTTAATTTGACCTTAGACACACCTCCATGTGCTAGTAGCCGAGCAAATACGATAACTGCATTTTGCATCAAAATTACCATTTACACATAAATATTGGATCCAAGTAGAATTGCAGATGGAATGGCCGCTATATATTTTATAAATATTTTTGATATCTCTACTAAAAAACAAAAACCACAGTTAGTTCTTGTTTCCCACTTTCAATCTGTCTCATCTCACCCACAGCAACTCAGAAACAGACTACCATGCTAATCATAGATATTATGAATTAAAGTCCCGAATGCAGGAATTCTGCGAATATGTTCAAAATTTTTATTTCACTTGGTATATTATGCTTGTATCTTTATTCATCACCAATCCCCTCTTTTAAAAATATGATATTGCCTTTATCCGACATTAAATACTGCGTGGTAAAATGCACCTACATGTATGTGTCATTGTGTACATAGACACCATATACAACTTACACTGGTACATGTATCAATACGGAGAGACAGCATTCAAATTAATATATGATAAACTCTTGTGTGTCTTTTAAATCATCAATATCTCACTAAATGATAAAGCGATATAGATGAAATTACAAGGATGAAAAATCCTGTTAGTTACTGATCAACCGATTACAACAAACTGACATGACAAGCATGAAAAAGTCTGAAAGTCTAGATTTTTTGTTCATTCAAGAATTATTGGAAAATATCATGCAGCTACAGACGTTAATAATACCAATACTGTGTGATTTTTATTTCACTATTTTGTTGTCAATTCATTTCTTACCAATTTATGCAGTTTAAGTGTTGGGCTATGTTCTTGACATTTTAGCATTGGCTTGCTTTATTTTTTGTTAGATTTTATATTGTTATGCTGTACACCATTTCTGTATGTACTGTTTTAAATGAATAAATTAAAAATTGGTCTTGATGATCTGTAACACTGCAATATTTGTCATTCTTTTTTTATAATTTTTTTGTATTGGTATACAAGTATTTCATCATTATTTGGTTATGATATGAAACCCAAACATGTTTTCTCATATACTAATTAAATTCTTGTCACCGCAAGTTGGTGATGTCTGTATCAATACCATGTCCATATATACAAATGTCCATATATACAAATGTACATATACACACAGTAACGTACAGGTTAATCATACCACAATGTATTCAATCAAGGCAATATAATGTTTGGAAAGGAGAAGTAGACAATGTAAAAACACACAAGCATAATATACTAAAGAAAAAAAATACACATGAATTACATATTCACACAATTTCTGCATAAAGTGAACAAAGTATAAATAAATAAACTTTTAGAAATCATTGAAATTGAATATTTGAATTACCACGCCTGGGACGATCTAAATTTATATGATGGATGTTCAGCATAATACAGGATGACAGTAAGGGATTAACTAACTTTTTTTTTTCAAGAATGCTAAATTCTCTACCCACTGGTTATATCAGGAATAAAACCACAAAACAAATTTGAGTACTTCACATGTAATTCCCTCAAGAGGGATATCAAAACTACTAAGATCCTGAGTGCAGTGTACATTTTGCGATCAATTTCACAGGTTCTCCCGCACTTCTTTCACCTTGTGGAAAATACCAATGGATACATGACAACATTCACTCACCTGTCAAACATTGCATAGACTTCAGATGATGGCTGGTGTATCGTACACAGTATAGTTCTACCCTGAGCTGCTAAATGCTGTAAAGTTGCCACCACACTCTGCGCCATAAAGGAATCTAATCCTGATGTAGGTTCATCACAAAACATCAATGGAGGGTTCGTCAAAACCTGATGCAAATTTTCGAACACAATGAATTATTTACTTATATATTGCACTTTTTGCAGTTAAAAACTGACCAAGAATGCCTAACAAAGCAATTGTTACATAACAAAAAGTACAAATATTGATTAGGAATAAAAATGAAAAATGTATAATAAATCCATCAGGTCATTCAGGACATTCAGGAAATGATGGACTTCACACTTATTGCACAATAATGGGGCATGAATGATGATGATGAAAAAGTGAAAGGCATATTGGGTTTGATTTAATGTGAAAACTTTGAATATTGTTATACTACAGACATTTGTCTGTTAATTAATTGTTTAATGCACGTCAAGTCCTGTCTGGTTTTCATCTGATAACCAGACTCCATGTAGTCTAAATTGACCAATAAGAAATCACTGCTTTAATAATCAGCAATGCATTATGACGAATAATTTATCATTGGTAAAAGAATACTAGTAATTTACATGTATGTATAAAGTGTTCATTTAGGATACATGCTAAACATAGGGTATTTCACAAATATTTTTTCAATCATTTTTCTTATAGAGTATGAGGTTTATCCTGTAAAAACCACAAAGTGTGCAAAAAGACAGAACAGTGGTAATTTGCTTTGCAGACATGTTAAGACTTACCTCGGATGCAAATGATAACCTTTTCATCTCACCTCCAGATATACCTTTAATCCCCCTGGCAGGATTACCGATGATAGTATTGGCACATTTACTCAAACCAAGCTGGAAAAAATTTATATTATAACATTTATGCCAAATCATTGCCAAATTTTTATTATTATGAATGTTGGTACCACATTTGGGTGAGAATAATTGAAAAAACAAAATGTAAATTGAATTACACAAAAACCCCAAATGAGTTGAAGGAGATATGCAACTATATGTCATTTTATCCAATCTAAACAAAAGAGCCAACCAAGATGGCCACCAGTCAGCCATTTTGAATCAAATCAAATCACAAAACACTCATACTAATTTCAGATAACATTAGCCCAGGTATGCTTGATAAAACATTGATGATCAACATAATATTTTGAGTGACACTGCTGTGGCAAAATGATTTATTAATTACGCTAATAATCCATGTGCTAATTATCCATTTGACCTTTAACCTTTTGTATGCCAAAATAATCTTTCACAAAATAACCCTATTTTTTCCAAAAATGTGATTGAGACCTGTGATAATTAGCAAAGAGCAAAATTCACATTTAAAAATAGCACTTGTTTTAATAAATTTTTCAAAGATAAAATGACTTTACTGTTAATAAACTACCAGCATATTTATTATCAGAATCAATTTTTAGATATTAATCACTTTACTATCCAATATGAACTATAACAATGGAAAAAAACCATGAGACGAACCATATGTGTAATTATTTATCAATATTTCAATGTTAAAATTCACACAATCCTACAGTGAATGTATTAATTATTCATTGGGTTTTAACTTCATTTTTGCTGATAAGCGAAGTCTGCTAAATTAAATTAAAATTAATAAGCAAAATAACAATACAACTCATTGTTTCCCTGACAAATTCATTAATTGAAATCATAGCCAATAAGTTCAAAATAGTGAAATTAAATGCCAGTACCGTTGTCCTGAATCAAACTACGGAATTGCAAATGACAAAATGATTACAGGGTATACGAAGATTTGTCTCCTTGATGTGCCTACATGAATAATTGTTACATTGAGGAGACAAATCTACATATAATAATTGTTTATTGTTTCCAAGCCAAACTCGCACCCTCGCTGTGGCAACTTTTATATACATGTAAAAAAACCTAGGTTCTTATATACAGACAAAATGTGACAGACAGTTTTGACATTACGGAAGATGATCTGCATGTACCTACATGTATAACACAATGTCAGTCAATTGATTTCATGTTCATGAGTTACATGCTACTAAGTTGATCATCATGAAATACATGTATAGTGTCTAATGATATATACATTTATAATAATTTTTCAGAGAATTTGACACAAATTTTAACAATTTTCTATATTTTGACTGACATTATTTTTTAAACAAACGGCAAATCAATAGGAACTACATGTACAGTGTGGAAGGACACAGCCTGAGAAAGGGTAAATAATCATTGTGATGTGTACCTGGTTAATGCATTTGAGCACTCGAGAAGCACACTCAAGATGCAATGTAACACTTACCTCTCTAATCACTTCCTCAACCCTTTCCATTCTACCTTTCTTGGGAATGTGGGAATCCATACGAAGTAAAGCCTGTGGGAATATAAATGCAAACACTGTTGAACACTGTTCCCAGTCACTTGAAAAAAACAAACTGTTGACTTTTTGGGTCTTTTTGATGATTGTTTTCTATGGTTACCATGTATATTTAATGTACATTTTAGAATTTTTTTGTGTTTATGATATGTCAAAAATTACTGAAATATTGTTATACAGAAATACATTACTCTGACAAAATGAACTATATACACCAATTGCTTGTACTTGTAATTTTAACTTAAAAAACTCTAGAGAGACGAAAAATGAAATTCAGTGTCAAAATATGTGCATACTACCGGTAAATATACATATTAGTACTTCATTACTGTAAAAGGATTAATTATTCACTGGGTTTTTATTTTGCTTATTTCGCTGAACGGTAAATGTGCTAAATAAAAACCCAGTGAATATGTAAAATTGAACATAGAATGCATTATCTATATACCGGTAATCAAACCGTGAATTTAAAACCGACTGATTATGACTGAAATGGTAAATCAGCGAAATTTAAATCCAGTGAATATTAGTCATTTTACAGTATCTCATCGACCAAAAATCTTCACCATCTTTCATTATTATGGGTTAATACAATTTGGATACCAAAAAAAGAGAAAAAAATGTGTTGCCTGGACAATTTTTTCAAGAAACCATTAAGAGTCTGAAATGTCACCGAAAATAGCAAAAATTTGCAATTTTGCATTGGTTTCTATGGTGAAATTTGTTTTTCTGTTTTCAGTGACCTGGGATGAAACAGTCATATATAGTCATTGACAATACCATTGAATCATTTCAAAATTAATTAATTTTCCGCTATATACAATGGAAATTTCCATCCCATAATGCTCAGCAGTGCAAAATTAAAATTTTGCCTCAAATTCCCTTTAAGGGAAAGTCTAGGTAAACAACACAATGCTTCCAGATGAAAGAGCTTCACAAATGTAGGAGAATGCAATTTAGAGTTTTTTATATCATTTTTCATCAACAGTGGCTATGATGTCATACTTACCCATAATCCTTTGCTGGAAAATCAAGATGGAGGACAACATATTACCCGGTAATGAAAAGTTGAATATCTTTGTGGAGCTCTTTCATCTAGGAGTATTATGTTGTTTTCCCAGACTTCCCCTTCCCGTGTAACTAAAGCCAATGCCCAATACAAACGCAAGAAAGAGTCTCACTGACCTGGAAGATAAGATGCTCTCTAACCCGAAGGTTGCCAAAAAACAGATCCTCTTGTTGAACATAAGCAGATGAGCTAGCAATCGACCTTCCCACTGGTTGACCATTAATCATCACATGACCCTCGACTGTAAGATTTCCACGGTTGCGATACGTCAAAACATTCATCAAAGTTGATTTTCCAGCACCACTGTCCATAATCAAGAAAAAAAAAAAACATTTTTTATTAAATTTTTTAAACAAAACATTTCTCAGGCTAGGTTGTCTAGACCACACAATCTTAAAGTAAAAAAAATGTTCTCTCATAAAAATACATCCATCTAACTATTAGAATTTTTTTTTTCACACCATAGAAACAGATAGTGAAATCCATTGCTTACAGACAGCCTGAGTCAAGAAACAAAAAAGTCAAACACATTCAAACAACAACTCTCTGCTACTTCTACTAAAAATAAATATAGGGGCAATAAATTAAGACTGAATTACATTGTGATTTCTCAATGAATTGTTTGGACAACTAAGATAATAACTTATTTGGTTTTATAGGCCCCAAAGTACACATACAAATAGTACAGTTTAACCATACCTTTGAAATACAGTAATTTTAAATTCTCTCATTTAACAGAGCCATGAGGAAAAATAATTCTACTAATAGTCACTGAAATTGAACACTAGATATTTAGTAGAAGTTTTTTTATCAAATATACAAATTTAGCAGCATTATGTAATACAGATTTATTTTCACATTTTGTGAGAAGAATTAACTTGCCTATAAATGCATCAGGGTATTATGGTGATATATTTGGAATGTATTTTTCACAAAAATGATGGATTGAAAAAATTGATCGCTGTTTCCAATTTAAATTTGTTTTCATGAGAGAATGTTGTTTAACCAAGCTACTGAAAAGCCATAGGAGAACAATATCATCATCTAGTCATTACTCCGTTCACTAACCTGCAACATCATAAATACATTGACCCAGTTTTTGGTTCACCCCTTACAGCAAGAGTGGAAGAAGTACATGGCAGTTTAAAAAAAAACAAAAAAATTTTTGAAGTAGAAACTCAATAACACCACTTCTGTTGAATCCTCATGTGATTATGGGTAAGATTTTACCATTAAATATACATAAATGTAAGTATTCACTAAAAAGTGTAATTTTAGTTTATTTTCATTGACTGAATGCTTCAGAACAATGTATTTCTCATTGATTTAAGAGACATTTGAACAACTAAAGTTCAGTTGAGCAGGATCCTTTGATTTACCCACCAGCTAGGCTAAAGAAAATGGTGTGAATCTGCAGTGCAACTGCTAGTTTTTTATAATTGCATATCCAAACATAGATTTGTTTCATGCGTGTCATAAAGGTGTTGGTGGGATTCATGCTTGGTTATTAAAAACCATCACTTATGCTAATAGATTAAATATGGTATATGCAAATTAAAACTGGCTTACCTTGCCCCCATGACGGCCAATAATGTTCCTGGTTCTACATAGCCACTTACTAAGTAAGGAAAATAAAATAAAACAACTCATTAACTGATTAGAATTTACCAAGTTGTCTGAGAACGAGTACTATAAATGTCTGCGTATAGTCTTTATTATTTCTAGGATTCCTGTTTGAGTACATGAAGTAGCAAGGACCTGTCAAGCTTTATAAGTAAACTCATAGAAAGTAAAGCAGGTAAATAATACTGAATAAACGGCATGGTAAATACTATGCCAAATCAAAGACTATAGTCTTTGGCCAAATCAAAGTAAACATGTACTGTGTGCGTGACTTGAACTGGCGCTTGCGTATGGCATCTAATCACCTAGCTTCACATCAAAGCACGTCTTCCCATCGGCCACTGGGCATCCCTATTATTACGAGCAGAGAGTGTGAAACCCGTCCTCATCGACCCACAAGCAAAGTCCCTCAGTTTGATTATAGCCACTTAACAAACAGTCAAAGTCATTTTCCATGGTTAAGTGTTACTTAATAATACATTGTTTACAGGGTATGTGTGGTTCGCATGGCAACACTATGCACTGTTATTCAATTCAATTCAACTTTATTGCGCAACATACAATTGCATATGCAGTATAGCAAAAATACAAAACAAAAAGAGCTGAAAAATGCTACTGAATCACTTTTCTTTAGGATTTCAGTATTATATTTTGAACATGCATTTTGATAGAAAAGCCCGCCGAAACTGAGATTCGCACACATGCATTTCACATTATTCTTTGAGATTTTTTTATGGTGACATTACAAGACAATGTCGAAGGTGCACTAAAGATACTAGGTTATACCATAGACCCTCTGAGGGTCTATGGTTATACATTGCTCTGAGAATACTAATTAATGAGAGGTTGGTGATGTATACACGTCTGGTCGTGATGTTTGTGTGAGTGTTAGTCTATGAAATCACCGACTGCCTGAACCCAACTCATGCATCTTCTGGCCAGCATTGAACATTCTTCTACGAATATTCAATTTTTCTATCTTTGACCCATATACAATGCAAATGCATCCCGGAGTTCTTGGTGATACAACAGTTGTGAAGCTAGTTTTTGTTCGTGTGCTAGCATTCGCTTGCCTGCTATCTTGAAAGAATGTAAACTTATATGCATATACACGCATTGCCCAAATCCAGTGACGTCATTGAAAAGGTTCATTAATATTAATAGCAAGGGAACCGTTGCAATGGTGACAAGTCTCTTGTTTATTTCACGGTAATCTGGCTTTTGCCATTTACATGTACCGGGGGTATATCTATATATATATTTCAAAAAATAAACAAAAGATTGTATGCAAGTCTACTTTTCAACTTTTATTCGAGATATCGAAACCATAACACCAGTGCATTTTCACAGAATGCATGACTGTTTCTTTTTTCTCTAAACTCGATAGGATAATACTCTGACAAAATCGTTTCAGTCGTGTTGTTTTTATAAGTACCGTAAAATCTGTATTAGAAGCTGCATCCCTAATAGAAGCCGCACCCATTCTTTTTGAACAATTGATACCTAAAAATTCACCATTTCTCGTATGTGTAGATGCTCTAATAGAAGCCGCATCCCCTCTGTTGCATTGTACCATTTTATTAGAAGCCGCGGCTTTTAATACAGATTTTACAGTAATTTGGCTCTGAACGAACAGAAATGAACGAACTGGATTGAAGCGGCTCATGTTCAGCTCAAACGTGTAAATGCATTGGAGATAATCTCCTGTTAATCAGTGGGAGGAGCAGTAGTTCGGCCCAATGGAATACTGCTGTGTGAACGAGGCAATACTTGTAGTACTAGCTTATGTTGGAATTTTTATTAAAATTAGGTACAAATACACAGATGTTTATTTCACTTTATAAGCTTTATTATCATTGTCAGGTTCCGATTTCTCTTTTTTATTAGCTCCATTGTTTTAATGCAGCCATTAACAGTTTCAGTGGGAAAATGAGTACATGGTATTTGATGAAAGCATGAAAGCATGGATGTACTATGACGAAATTGACATGTTCAATCAGAGCGGAGATAACAAAACATTGTTGAGTGGGCTTCAAATTATGTGTGAAGAAGAAGGTACATGATAGGGTCAAAAAGTCAAATGTCAAGATATGTTTCAACATTTCTAAGTGTCTAATTGCTCAAGCCATCTGGCCCGGTCAGCAAATTTTATCGGATAAAAAATGGTCATTGTCATTGACCTGTACTAGAACAAACTCAAACACATGTACTAGTTGGTGGCAAGGCCTTCATTCACTGTTGTCTAATCAATGGTCTATAGTCTAATATTTACAGTGTAGGGAGTGTCTGAAAAAAAGACTTTGGCTCCTTTATTCTCGAGAGACAAATTTTCATGTATTTAGTGTGGAAAGTTTGTGATTCTCTCAAACTATTTTATTTATATTTATTTATTTATTTGAATACTTATATTTCAGTATAATTTTGATCTTTTTTTTTCATTGGATAGATATGCATGTTTACGTGTTAATTGATACTTTGAAGGGAAATTATTATGGTATCCTTTTAAATTAAATTCCCTTTCATAGTATATTCCTCACTGACTTTTCAAGTTTTCACTCTTAACAACCACAGTGCATGGATACTGAAAATATGATAAAAAAAAATCTAAAATATTTTCATCAGTTTTTCATTCGTTGTTATTATATTTAATAAACAAATATTAAATTCTTGATACGCATGTAAATCTTAATTACACACACTTGGATTGACCTCACAAACTGCCTGAACTTTGCCATGATATTCAACTTCAAGTTCAAACATTAATTCAATTATTTGATCATAATCTCAAAAATGATTTGATTTTCCAAATTGATTGTTCTGCATATATGTTTTCTGCATTTATGTTACTGGATGTTACCTTAACCGGATACCACTACCAATATATAAGTTTCTTAACCATAACTTTCCCTTACTGAAGGTATGGGTAAAACAAACAGGTGAAAAATTATGAAGCATAACAAAGATAAAAAAAATACATAACAACAAAGTATTACTAGGCATTACTACCAGTCATGGTGTGAATGACCACGCGAAAACTGGAACAATTGTTCATTGTGTTCCTTTCATTGACGGGGAACTCTGAAAGTGGGAAAAGACCTGCTTTGCAGGGTGTGGGGTGAAAACAATGGGGCGTACTGTAAACGGATATCACGCACGTACATCGTTCGTTACACACTGACTCGCATACAATTATCCTCACCTCTGCGTAGAATTCTCTTTGGTAACAAAGTTTTCGGGTCTTGTTTCTTGAACCATTTTCTTTTTGGAGGAGGCGCAGTCACTTCAATGTCACACCAAGTCAAAGACAACTGCTCTGTTGGTAACAAGACCGAAGTTTTCCTCCCGTTGTCTCTTCCATGTCCGTACGTTATCGGGCTCTCGGCGATGTAACTTGACGAGGCTCCGGTCTGATCATTCGATCCGCGGATCGAAATACTTGCATAATCCCGTTTACCTTGGCCGAATCCTCCTCTATTGCTGAGCGAACCACCGATTAAAGGCGTTTTAGTATTAACTTTATCGGTCATGTTGTTTTCATCATCGTACATGTTCACTAAATAAAGCACACCAAAATCGTCCAAATCACAAACGCCTGTCGTCGTCCGCCGATAATAGGTCTTACAGAATATCAGTAATAGTTATATAAATCCCCAACCCCTTGTATTCCCAATCGGAGAAACGACAAAACACGCTTAAATCATACTTGTAGTGTCTGCAAGAAGAGTAACAAGTTACATAATGCAACCTTTTCGAGAAGAAACAACCCTCTCAAATGGTGATTACTAGCACTGGCGTCCACCAACTCTTCATTCACCGTGTCACCTCTGACCTTTGCTGACGTATGTAAATGTATACGAGTCGGCTGTGTTTTTCACGATATGTGTAACTACAGATGACCATTTGTTCAGTTAAACCGTATACTATAACACTGATATGTATAGCCCGATCTATACATAGTTACTCATGCTCAGAATTAATTTGAAATCAATCAGAACTTAAATAATTTCAATCAATAATATTCATATAGCATATAATCAGTGTCGCACTCAGTGACTGTCTCTGTGGCGCAATCGGTTAGCGCGTTCGGCTGTTAACCGAAAGGTTGGTGGTTCGAGCCCACCCAGGGACGGTTTGGTATTTTTTCCTTCTGAAAATCTTATCGTTTACTGTATTCTTACCCTTTAATC